TGCCTCCGCGCCCCCCCCCTCCCGTTGTCACGCTGATCCCGGGCTCCGCTGTGCCCGATGCGAGCCCGGGACCAGCATAGTGCCTCTCTGACAGGGAATCAGAGGGAGATCGGTACACGACCTCCCTCCGGTCCCCTCTCCGCTTTAAGAATGCAGAAATTATGTATATTAGATCACTTCCGCATTCCTGTGTCACTCTCCAGCTTCAGATGCTGGAGAGAAGCTGATGAAGCAGATCTCTGCTTCATCTGGGGTCCTAGATGATATTAGGGGTCTTGGAGACCTCTGATGTCTCCATAAAGAGGACCTGTCACATCTTTTGCTATCACATAGGGGGTTTCTTAGCCCCCTATCTGATAGCAATAAAGTTAAGTGGTAAAAAAAATAGGAGAAAAAATGTAAGTTTCCGAAAATTTTTTTTTAAAGTTACACATAAAAAAGAATAAAAAAAACTAATTTTTTTTAAAAAGTCCCCACCCATACATACACGCATGGAAACATGCGTCGGGTGCGCATACCTGCGAAAACAACGATTGCGCCCATTACGCCGCACATATTACATATCGCCGCGAACCTCGGAGTGATAGCAATAATTTTAGGGCCATCAATCATTGATAACACTAAACTGATGAGCGTTAAAAGCTTTTAAAGCATCGTCTATGGTGAATTTTGGGTATGGTAGTTTTTTTGCGATTTTGCGGGTGTGCGCAATTTTTAAGCTTGACATGTTTGGTGTCTATTTACCCGACGTGACCCCGACTTTTATATTTTACCCAAAAAATTGGGTAATAATAAATGTTTCCTAACATAATGTAAAAAAACGTAATTTTCCCGAAATATAGTAAAAAATAAAAACCCCAGTGGTTATTAAATACCACCAAAAGAAAGCTCTATGTGTCCCCAAAAAATTGTATAAAATTAATTTCAGTATAGCGTTGCATGACGGAATAAACGTCAGTCAAAGTACCGCAGCGCTGAATACTGAAAAATGGCCTGGATGGGAAGGGGTATAAACACAGCGGTCTTCAAGCAGTTAATTGATTTCAGTGGATCTCCCATTTGCCAATAACTTCATCTGGATGACAGCTGATGAAGCTAGCACTTTCATATATAATACAGCAATGCTACACCCCATATAGCAATTCCTTTATGTGAGGCTCCAATCTGATGGACACAATAGGTGTCTCAACTTGAAAACATTATTATGAAAAACAGAGGAAACCAAACCAATGATCAGCTCCACAGCTCAGCTCTTCTGTGACCTAACATAATATGAAGGTGGCTGTTCCATCTCTAGTCCTTGGCTGTCCTCTAGTGGACAAATAAGGAAATACACTGAAATGTCCTTAATGTACGTGACCATATCACCATCTCCCAGAATGTTCTGTGTATATCCATGCAGGTAGAAAACATGAATATGCAATCCTTCTGGATGTCAGCACAGCTATGTTCAGACATAAGATCTCATGTGTGGACAGGCACACAGCACTTCTCTTACTGACCATATGAACCAGCAGCCATAGTGAACTAGCTGATCACATGACCCGTACTGGTCACATGACTTGTGAGCAGCGTGCAGTGGGAGGAGGAGAGCGGAGTGTGTTCCTGGGATCAGGTCAGAGAACTAACACTGATCACATACCAGAGATCTCTACAAGCATGACACTGACCGAGCACTGACAGCCGTGGTGACATCCGCACACATGGGGATTTGAACAAAGCGTGACCGGGAGGGAGGGGGATGGTATTACACATGGAGGAAGTCACTGCACACCCAACACCTCTCAACTGATCACATATAGAGGAAGAAGGGACATCACACCTAATACCTGTCCTTTGCTCTGACCACACCTAGGATAGCGCAGCAGACCCGGAAAGGTTTCAATCCTTTCCGGGATAAAATGTCTCTCTTGCGGGCGTCCGGGAGCCGCTATCTAATAGCGGGAGACTCCCGGAACATCCGGGAGACTTGGGATGTCTGCCTTGTCTCTGATGACACCTAGGACTTCTCCCCTGATCACACCAAGGACCTCTCCTCTGATCACACCTATGACCTCACCTCTGATCACACATAGGACCTCTCCTCTGATCACACATAGGACCTCTCCTCTGATCACACCTAGGACCTCACCTCTGATCACACATAGGACCTCTCCTCTGATCACACCTAGGACCTCTCCTCTGATCACACTTAGGACCTCACCTCTGATCACACCCAGGACCTCACCTCTGATCACACCTAGGACCTCTCCTCTAATCACACCTAGGACCTCTCCTCTGATCACACCTAGGACCTCTCCTCTGATCACACCTAGGACCTCACCTCTGATCACACTTAGGACCTCACCTCTGATCACATCTAGGACCTCACCTCTGATCACACATAGGACCTCTCCTCTGATCACACATAGGACCTCTCCTCTGATCACACCTAGGACCTCACCTCTGATCACACCTAAGACCTCTCCGCTGATCACACTTAGGACCTCACCTCTGATCACACCTAGGACCACACCTAGGACCTCACCTCTGATCACACCTAGGACCTCTGGTTTGGTAAAATAGGGGGGGGGGGGGGCACCTCCCTGAAATGAGAAGGGCACCTCCCTGAAATTGCTTTCTTCAGGTTGGGATGCCTGCATCTTTCCTCTGATCACAACTAGGACCTCTGCTCTGATCACACCTAGGACCTCACCTCTGATCACACATAGAACCTCTCCTCTGATCACACCTAGGACCTTATCTCTGATCACACTTAGGACCTTATCTCTGATCACACCTAGGACCTCTGCTCTGATCACACCTAGGACCTCTGCTCTGATCACACCTAGGACCTTGTCTCTGATCACACATAGCACCTCTCCCCTGAGCACACCTAGGACCTCTCCCCTGATCACACCTAGGACCTCTCCGCTGATCACACTTGGAACCTCACCTGTGATCACACCTAGGACCTCACCTCTGATCACACCAAGGACCTCTCCTCTGATCACACCAAGGACCTCTCCTCTGATCACACCTAGGACCTCTCCTCTGATCACACCTAGGACCTCTCCTCTGATCACACCTAGGACCTCTCGTCTGATCACACCTAGGATCTCTCGTCTGATCACACCTAGGACCTCTCCTCTGATCACACCTAGGACCTCACCTCTGATCACACCTAAGACCTCTCCGCTGATCACACTTAGGACCTCACCTCTGATCACACCTAGGACCACACCTAGGACCTCACCTCTGATCACACCTAGGACCTCACCTCTGATCACACCTAGGACCTCACCTCTGATCACACTTAGGACCTCACCTCTGATCACACCTAGGACCTCACCTCTGATCACATCTAGGACCTCACCCCAATGGTGGTGAATTGCAGTACCTTAAAGAGAAACAACCCTCCCTCCAAAACAAAATTACAGTCTCTGTTATTGCTCCATAAATATATTTAAAGCCCAGCATTGTCCTCTTCTTTCACACCACTCTCCTACTACATGTCCCATCCCACACTGCCATCTTTCTCTTGTTCTTAACGGGGAGCTGACTGTCTCTTCCTGCTTTTTTCAGCCAGCCTTGCTAATCAGCTGAGTAGCCTGCATCATCCTCCATCATATACATTTTTGAAAAGCCCAACTAAAAGATATCTTCAAAATAGCTGTAACGGAAAAACGGGGTAACACATGATAGATTAAACACTATTTAGCTAAACAGGCCATGTTCATGTTATTGAAATGCCTATTTTGCATTATAAATGATAGATGGTAAATCTGGACACAAAAAATCAGCAGTAAACCTATGCAGACACAGCCTCAACTGTCAATCACAGAAAAAGAAACAGTGCTGCATATAAGCTACTGGCAGTTTTATTCTCACTGTATAAAGTGATACACATACTACTAAGTTTCACTTACTACTGGGTGAGCAAAACTTACAATGGCTCTGGAAGAAGCAAATTTTGGCAAGGTATAAATTATTTTCTGCAGGGAGGGGTGGGAGACGGATCTAGGCCCTCTATCGGATGACGATTGGGAAGATGCACTCCAAGGGGTTACACAAGTCTCGCTCTCACCCACTCACAGGTTGACGCAATTGTTCATTATCCATAGAATATTTTGCACACCTGAATTTCTGTTCCGTATTGGGTACAGGGCTGACCCTAAGTGCTCTAAATGCAATGTTCATCGAGGTTCTTTGATTCATCTACTGTGGAGATGTCCTAAGCTAGTAAGGTATTGGGGCGAGGTCTGGGACGTCATTAACTCTGTTTTTGAATCCTCACTTAATAACTCCCCACTTGTTTGCATCCTGGGCATTATAGATGCACCGGAGGCAAACTCCCATACGATTGTGGCCATTAAACGAGCACTATTCACGGCATCAAGGCTGGTGGTGCATAGGTGGATCTCCACTTCTTCCATTTCTCTAAGTTATGGCTTAGAGAAATGGATAGGATGGTGGGCTATGAACGTGTCACTTTTCAGCAGAGAGGTAATATGAAAACATTTGACTCTATGTGGTCCAACTGGCTGTCTTCTCGGGGAAGGGAGGGCCTGAGTAAACACCTTGTATGAGTACTACACTCCGGGGGGTACTCGATATGTCTGTCCCACTAATATTGTACCAGCAGGTGAAAGCTGCGAGGGGTATTGAGTGTACAAGATATTTCTGTACCGTTTGACGTGTGGCTACTGATATTCAAATGTGCACCTCCTTTGTACTTTTTTAATGTCCCCCCCGCCCCCTTTTTTTATTTTTATTTGTACTGCTGTTGCTTTTTTCTTTTTTTTTTCTTTTGTTTGTTATGTTTTTGTCTGTTTTTTTGAAAAATCAATAAAAATTATCTGATTTTTAAAAAAAAAAAAGGTATAAATAATTTTCATTTTTGTGACTTTGAGACAAATCCTACAACAAATATCACAAAACAGTAATTGCATTCTCATGATTCATCTTTTTGTTTAATAATTAGAATTTCTTTTTATCCATTTATATATTTTTTTAGGAATCTGGAGTGACTGCATTTTGTGCAAACCATGATCAACTGAGCCCTTTTGTCTAGAGAATGGAGGTGTCGTTGCCTTCAGTTGCTCAAGAATTGCTGCGTGAGATAAAACAATCTTACCAAGAAACTTCACAAAGTAGGTAAAAGTCTTTTCCTGTGTGATGGAAAATGATGCAATACTGGGGTGTGTGAGACGCAGGGTTTGACACATTTGCTGATGTGTTAGAAAACAAATTTCACATTATAGAACACACAACATTCGCACCTTGCAAAAGACATTATTTAAATGTTTTAAATGTGGTGGTGGTTACAGATTTGCAGAGTTGCAGACCCACTTCTATGCAACTCAGTGTATCAATTTTTGTTTTCTTTATTTTCAAACTTTTTGGAACAGTCAGGATAAAGAAACAACAACCAACAAGATAAGACCAGTTTCCGACCCCTGCTTTAATTCACATGGCTGTCAAGGTTCCAACAAGCTACCTCAATGGATCGGGAGCTTATGAATATCCTGAGGGACTGACTATAACCGTAGCTTCTAGAGGATCCCAATCCAGAGGAGGATGCTCACAGCTTTAGCATTCAGTGACTGAGAGGTTATCAAAGCACATTGAGGGAGGAGGGTAATGAAAGAAAGTCTAACATTAGAGCAGGCCTATCTAGGAGCAACACAGGAGAGACAGAAAAGCACAGAGGCAAATTCTTCCCAGGGTCGCGTCCGGAGGCCGCTCCTTGGTGGGGGGCTCTGTCAGGAAGCAGGGGGTGTTACCTCTACTCGGGGACCACGGGCACGGCGCAGGGCACGGGTTCCCCTTCAGCTCGGTAGAACACCTGGTGCCCGAGGTGCAGGTGCACATGCGCGAGTCATGCGGCGTGGGCGCATGCGCAGTACGCAGGCTGCGCACGCATCCCCGGGAGCATAGCGTTCTTGCATCATCTGGCTATCAGGTGTGAGCCTTGCTGGGGGAGGTTCCCAGTACACACTTTCCATCTTCCTCGCCTGCCATTGGTTCCCGGGATTGATAAAAGGTGTTGTTGAGAGTGAAGGGCAATCATGCCTAACCGGGATGACCGGATGACCTGAGCTAAGCAGGTGTAAACATGGTACCAAGGCCCTCATGAGCACTGTAGTCCAGAGTAAAAAGGAAAGTGGATCAAAACGTGACTGCTACCTAGTGCACACTAGAAAACTTCTCACTAAGTTAAAGCTGACAGGTATAAAAATTTAAAAACCTGCACAGCAGCACTCAGGCTGGAAGAGGGAGAGGCAGTCTTGCCTTGCACAGTGTTGAACATACTTTTAATTGAGTAGATAAGACAGATTGATGAGCTCATCAGTGTGCCGCTGCTCCTTTGTCCAGTCACTGACCTTGAGGGTGGGGGGATTTTTGTATATCTATGCCCGCTTTTACCTATACTTTGTTCCACCATCATGTTATGCTCTAGTGAAGGCCCCCGGAAAGCATTCCCCCACCTGATAGTGATAGCACCTGGCAATAGGACACTTGGGCACTGAGCATTTATTTTGGGAAATGGAGAAAGGTTGGTGGAGGTAAGAACAGTGTCTTCTTTGCAGGCTCTGCGCTAGTTTGATCAATTTTGTGTCAATACTTTTGAGTCATTGTGAAAAAGGTTGATCGGCTCTCCAACTTGTCACGTCAAGCTTCATCACCTTTAAAAGCAACATAGCAACTGCTATGCTTTTTAGGCAGTCGTGTCCGAAATGTGTGGCAGTGGCTATGTTGCTTTTACCAGTTGTAAAAAAGGACGGTGTCAGCACCAATTTAGAGATGATTTGAGGATCTACAGCCGGAAGATACACAAATAAGATACATTTTTGGTAATAGATCAGGTACTTGAATGCATTTGTAAGATTTAACTCCTGAGTTTAGTGTCATTTTAAGAAAAAGCAAAGTATTGTCCTTTAAACCCTCCAGGAACTTTATTTACTAATGGTATTTATATAGCGCCGACCATTTGTGCAGCGCTTTACATAGTTGCACATTCACATCAATCCCTGCCCTCAAGGAGCTTACAATCTAAGGCCCCTATCTCACATGCATACATACAAGGGCCAATTTAGACAGGAGACAATTAACCTACCAGCATGTCTTTGGAGTGTGGGGGTGACAGCATTTTGTAGCTGTGTTACTAAAATCCTCTATAATAAAGCACGAATATTTGGAAGCTGTCAGGTCCCACTCAGTGATGTACAATAGTGATTACATCATTGACTCCCATCTAGCGTTAGGCCTGGGCTGCAAACCAAAAATTAATTTTGTTGAATTGGTTGGATAAATGAGCTGTGACTCATTTTGAATTGTCACATGTTTGTAGACTATTGTCCATACACCTGAAGCCCCCTGCGGTATATGACGGCGATATCCCAGGTGGCTGCGGGAGCAGGACATGCCATTTTCGCCTAGACAAGGATGGCGTTGGTGGCCGCAGGCTGGAATAAAAAAGTAAACAGGAAAATAACGGAGGGTTGCAGTGGGTTAGAGAAGAATTTTAGAAGGTCCGCTTTAGGTTGTACCTACTGGCAAAAATTAGGTTAGTTGACCCTTCTGAGGCAATAGCAGGCACAATCAGGTTCTTGCAGATTGTGGTCAATATCCTTCCTCCACTGCACCCCAGGAACTCAAGTTGTCCTACACTAGTTTCGATGTCATAGCATAGGCACCCACCCATCAAATTCCACAACGCAACACAAGAACATCTCTAATGTCTGCAAAGACATCTGGATTGCATTGCGGGAGACACCCTATATAGACACCCTTGTTTGTGCCAGTAAGCTGTGTGTGTCTCCACATACATAGCAAGGCACGGCAAGCAAGCTTTGCTGTGCCTGTGGGTTTGTGGAGACACACACAGCTTACTAGCACACACGTGGGTGGCTCCATAGGACCCTGCAAGGGAAAGGAGCCACCCTAAAACAAGATACCAGGACCAGTGCTCAGGGGACAAACTGTTACTGCAGGAAGCTAAAACTTATAAACATCAAGTAGCTGCATCCATTGTGAGTGATTTCATCAACATTTGAGAAAGCTTAAAAACCTTTTGACTTTAATATCACTTTAATGACTCCAAAGTGCTCATTATCACACAGATATATTTTTCAACATCCTGGCTATTCTTCATGATTACGATCATAATAGGATAGAGAATATTGTCTTCACACTTCTGTTATATAGCCGAATTGGGGATAGAGGTTGTGGCTGGTCCGGGACGTGTGATGATATGAGGAAGGTCAGACGCATCTTGTACTGTTATCCTCCAGTGAGACGCCTGCTTGTGCATGACTATCCTAACTCTAGATAAACATATTAGATCTAATTATATCAGATCACATGGCTGCCTTGTCTCAGTCATGTCTCTGCTCCCGCTCTAATCGTCTACTTTTCTTGTCTCATATGTCACATTACATTCTCATTACTCCTGAGTAGAATTCTTCAATCACAGCTGGATAACCGGCCACATTACTGCAGGATCCTCTGATGGTTTTGACAAATTGCCAGCTAAGATTGTTAAAATAGTCTAAAGCAAATTATTTGCAAACAAGATCCTGTCATTGCGTAATGTTAAAGCTGAATTCCAAGATAAGTAAATATTGTCTAAATACAAGAAGCTTGTGTATTCTTGTTTGAATCTTGGTGTGCTTTGTGTATTTCTTCCAGATCTTTGCATTAATCCAGTGTGAATATTTTGCTTAATAGGAGCTTAATGTAATAAATACCAGTCACTGCTGCTCTCTCTCCCTGTGCAGGGTGACTGGTCTTGTATCCGCCCCCTCCTGTAGTTTTCTTTTTGTTACCTGTAGTGGGTGGAGCTTCTGGGTTCCTCCTTCAGCACAGTGGTAATGTCACTACTATGTTTAAAACATAACAACTGGGTTTGCAATGGCATTTGCTCTACACAAAATAGATTTATAATATTTGTGGTTATTGAGCAGGATATTCAAGTGAGAGTTTTTGTGCCCAGAGTTCAGCTTTAAGCAAAGATTCCGCTAGCTCTGGCTGACCTACTGACGCCTTTTTTTATTGATATACGCTTAATGGAAACTGGAACATTTAACTGTGCTGTTCTTAGTGAGAGGTCACATTGTCCTTTTTGTTCCTGATGAAGCTGTTATGTCATTGCTTTATATCCTCCTGTAGTCTCCAGATATTCTGGCTGGTCAATGACAGCAGCAGCAAGTCTCTATTTACAGCAAGTCATAAATAAGTTGGGCTATGCATTGTTTTCTTTCTGAAGCTGTAAAACTGTCACATGAGAAAACATATGTATGCCAGTGGAATAGGTCCTGGATTGCAGCTGTCTTTGAAGAAGAAGTAGTTGTGGGCATAACCAACATTCTGTATCTGCCCGGGTCATTTAATCCTACTCTGAGCTGACACTTTTAATGCAAATATTTTTCTTGTCTTTTCAGAAGCTTTAGGTTTCATACACATAACGTATATATACTGTATGTATGTGTATATATATAGATATAGACACACACACACACAACATTCCGAGAGCTCCCTGACACACAGCGCAGAAGGTTTGTATTAAGCCAGATGACCTAGTCAATTAATACCTGGGGAAGCATTTCCCCAGATATTTTTTTAAAAGGAACTGAGACTACAGTATCTGTGGTAAATGCAGGCTCTCTCTCTGTCTACACAAATTGTTTGCCCTTGTCAGTCCACCCCTGAGGTTATTGTCAGATTGAGGAGCATGGTATGGGCGCAAAGTGTGTGGGTCTATCCAGCACCCATGTGACATAGCTCTGGATCCAAAACTCTAGCATAGATATTGATACTGAATGTTAACTGCAGAATGTTTGAAGATGACCATAGACTTTAGTTGGACAGATGTGCAGACATGAGCTGACCTCCAAAGATTTTTTTGTTTTAATTTTAAATCAGAGTTTGAACATTGGTATTACATTGGCACATACACTGCTTGTCCAAAAAACAAAGTAACACACTAATTAATTGGACCGCCTTTAGCTTTGATTATGGCCCACATTCACTTTGGCATCATTTCGATAAGCTTATGCAATGTCACAACATTTATTTCTGTCTAGAGTTGGATTGATGTTTCACCAAGATCCTGTAGTGATGATGGGAGAGTCCAGCACATCCCAAAGAT